CATGCAACCTTCGGTATACATCCATCACATTTGCAGCCACTGCTAACACTCAGCAGTTTCAGCTTTCAGGTGTGCTGTCAAGAGTTCTAATGCAGCTCAAATGTCAGGGCATCTGAGCCAAACTGGCATCACAAGTCGGCGTTCATCAACATTGAACAACAACACACTGTGTGTGCTTTATATAATAGTTATACCTATCCCGCATGAAAGCCTTAATCCATTATTAATTTGGCTAGGGAAATGGAAGAGCAATATAATGTTTTCAATACATTGTCCGTGTTCTGTTGTGCAATGCACAAATATTTGGCATTGTAGGGTAAATGCGAATTCATCACGACTGCTACACACTTTGATCCTTGCACAACCCAACACTGTGGAACGGTTTTCTATGTACGGTGCGAAATAAGTGCAATATATACAATCAGAACAATCGCCTATCTGCCTATATAATGATCATAAACAGCTTTTTCTACAATTAAGTACCCGAACTGTGATTAAAAAAAAGTGAATATGCGTTGAAATAATGACTCATTACGGAGCGTGGTGTCAGGAGCACAGACCAAATGGAAATCTAATTCAGCATTTACCTGGGAACGCCTTGGTCTGAATACAATTTGCAGACGTCCGCTTTAAGCCTTTGTTGTAAGGCCTGCAGTGCGCTGGCACACACACATGACCGTTTCATAATACAAATCCTTCGCATCTGCCACCCGGGATTTGATCGGCTTAAGGCACCCTAAGCTTCTTGTGTGTTGATTTCAGGCATTACACCGATCAAGTGTCAGCTGCTGAACGTGCAATCAGATGTGCAGAGTTTGTGTGTAATACTAGTTTTGACAAAGCTCTGTTCATTATTTATGCAGATGAAAGTAATTACGAGAATTCAGTAAATATATTATTGTGCAGATCCAATCAGTGAAGTCCTGCGCTCAGACCACTATGAATAATTTCCAAGAGTGAAATTTGTAAAGCTTTAAAAAGTGTGCTCATAAAATAAACGTAAGATGCACAAGAAATACTATATTAAAACGTCGCGTTATACATCTAATTTATAATAGGCATTTGCAATAGACACTTGTGCTACAGCTTTTTTTAAATACATGTAAAGCAACCTTTCGAATATTAGTTTGGCTTTCGTGGAAAATATCAAGACGTTGGCTACGGGCTCAGAGCCACAGGGCTTTTTAATTTATAAGAGGAATGCCTTGTCAGTTTTTTTATGGTTTACCTGCAATCAACTTGTGGCACGATAGGCGTGCTTGTCTTGGGCTTATTTTCTGAAGAAGCTTTCCCCTTCCCTAATACGAAACCAAATTTTCCCACGTGCTATGCCCAAAGTAATTTTGAATGTCACTACTCGGTAATAGGCGTAATGAAAAACACATCACACGTTATTACTCACTGCATGCTTCAGTATTCGAGTAATGACTTATTTTCTTAATGCTTCTCCAAATACTTTCGAAGTAAATCGTTTTGTCCGTTAAAATCCTTATAACTATGGCGCACCAAAAGAAAGTAATATTTATTTTTTAACACAAGAAGTTGGCGTATTTAGGCATTTTTTTTCAGAAGTGTAATCAAATGTTTAAAGGCCACCCACAGTGTTTAGAACAGCAAACAGACCCATTATGGGCGGCTGCTTTCAACGTACATTTCCTTGATACTCAAAACCAATGCTATAGGTCTCCACTCTGGAACATTCTGCTGCCAATGATGTTAACTTTAATGAGTGGCACTTCTCAAAATTGTTTTTATTGTGAAATATTGCCCATGTGGGCCGACACCGCTCGCCTCATTTTGTATGCTTCTTGGAACTGTGCCAGCAATGTATAGCATTTCACCAAGGCGAGCTTACTTGTCTGGTTCCTGGTGTGTCAAGCGCACTGCTTGTTTTGAAAGGATTAAAGGGTCCCTCGGGGCTTGTCGGCTGAGAAAATAATGTGACGGGCCTGGGTTTAATACGCAGCACTCTGCAACCACAGCCAATGACAATAGTGCAGGGGACGTGATTAAGCCATTGGCAAGCAGATTGAGGGTTTAAGGCACAAGAAAAAGGCATAAACCTCAGCCAAGCAGATTTTTTCCCTCTTATATAAATAAATAAGTGACTGTCGTAATAACAATCATGATCATAGAGCAACCAGGTTGAATTATACATGAAGGGAAATAAATTAGTGGGTTTTTTTTAGCTCTGAAAGAACATTTTGTCATGCTTTCTTATCTGGCAATAAATAAGCTCTTTCTCATGTCGTGTTTACACCAATGTCATATGTTTTTATTGGAATGATTCCGATGGCTAAAAAGCCATTGCAAAATGCAATTTAAAAAAATGTTAAGACATACAAATTTGGTATTTTGATGTAAAATTGCAATGTATTTCAATACATTTTCAGTATACCTATAAAGCAACTTCAAACAGGAAATGTGAACAATAGGAACATTATATTTCTACATTTTCTTTTCATCTTATAACAGTCAGCACTAAGTGTGGGATGCTTTTTGTAGAATAATTTTTTGATTAAATTTTTTTGTTAGAGGCGAACAAATAATCTGAGATCTACCCTGCATACTGCACTTAGGCAGCTGCACAAACATACCAACTATATTATTCCTGTTCTCCAGCCAGCCCTGAAAAAAACCTAAACTTCAACGTGAAGAGGCAACTTAAAATTGCATGCCAATATTGTTTTCTGAAATAAATGCAACTGTAGTTTATGACAGGTATAAATTGGAACCAGATTCCATTCTGGGAAGTACTAAGTTTAAAAAAAGTCTAATTCAGTGGTATTTTTTGCCCTTTAATACTCTATTCAATTATTTTATGCCTATAAACCCTCCTTTAAAAAAACTATATGTTGTCAGTTGTTAAAGCAGCTTAGCCTCTTTGAAGGTAAAGTATAAAATAGGAAGGCTGATGAGTTCCATTTTCAAAAAGGTAGCAGCGTCCTTTTGGGATGCCGTTATCTGGGGCTCACGCCCAAGGCAAGGGACGGTAATCCGTCCTCCTCCCCATGTTTCCTGCCAGCTAATCCCACCAAATCAAGCCCAAAATCCTGTGGCACTCTGCCTCAACCGCAGAAGATTACGTAGTTTGGAAATTGCTCTTATTATTTGGTCAAAATAAACTCCCACTCAATTAGTTCGTAACAGCTGAAATAGTGGGAAATCTGTGGCGTATAAATTGTATTAGAGGGTCGACTTTGAAAACAACAAAAGTGTCTTAATGCCTTCAAATAAACTTGTATATTTTATTTTTATTTATAAACTTTCAAAAAGTTCTGCCCCAACCACACCCCGCCCACAATGCAAAATTATGCGTTACAATATTGAGTGGTATGATGTAGCACATTCAAAAGGAAATAGTGGGACTTAAAATATGAAGCCTGAATTGTGTGCTGCTTTGACATTACGCAAAGGGCATCCATCCATGGTACTGCAATACAAGAAAGGCATTGCCCTCTGCTGGTGAGCTATGGCTTTAAAAATGTTCAATGCTTACCAAAGAATAAGATTCCCAAATAACATTTTCCAATTACCATTTGCAGCTGTCACGCTGCATGGTAATTTAAAAGTAAATTATTTGCTCATGTATTTTGAAGTAATAAAAAAAATTATATTAATTTTGTGCCACATAAAACTGTCCCTGTGAAAATCCTTCGGGAATTCAGAAAAATGTCCAAATACAAATGTTTCATAATAATTTAGTTATGCAATTAACTTTTTCACAACAAATAACTTGTCTGCTTTTTAGTATCGCGGTCATCTCTGTGAGCCACGGTGGTGAGATGTTAACTACCTCGCCTGGTATAAAGGTCGTGGGTTCGATGCCTGTACAGTGTATTTGGGGTTTCCCGTGGTCGCGTTTAGTGCATATAAGCTACTTTGTTGAGCTATCATTCGTGGTCAGGTCACTTCTGAAAAAGAGCTATATAGCTCAGTGGGCCTTACCTGGTAAAATATACATTTAATATTCATGATTGCAATTTAACCTGCATTTTTTCTTTCTATATAAAACTTGAAATTACAATCGAGCAATCATGAAAATTAGCATTGTGGTCGTAATTATACATTTTCCAAATCATCTGCTAAATGAATCATCATCACCATCATCGCTATCATCCTTACGGTATTTCCTTCTGTTCAGTTACCATTATCCTTCCTATACCATATGCTGTGTTGTCATCACTTCATCTTATTTTTGGGTCATTCTCTCATTTGTGATTCTTCTCTTGGCTAGCAGTCGATCACTGCTTTTGTCAACTATCATCACTTAGAGAGACAGGTCATGACCTAGGTTTTTTTTTTGTCTTGTAGAGACACGCATCCCACCTGTTAAGTGTCTCATTGCACGCCTAATATCATCACTTTTGCCTTTTTGGATATCGTTTATATATCGTTTATATATTCGATTTCAAGATGTGCATTATTCCGTCAGAAGAAAAAAAACGGTCCTTTCATGGCAGCAAACCAACAGCCGGTTCTGTGACATTAAACCAGACCTCCTGGAACACCAAGGCCAGCTGCTTCACCCTTCACAAACTATTCTGAGATCCCAGAAACCAATCTGGGATCGACAGGCGAGACAATTGGATGAAGCGGGGGTCCAACTCTGATGACCGCTGGCAAAGACCGTGGAGGGTTCCACCACTGCTCCGCGTGGTTCTATCAACCGCTTAAAAAGAGCAACCGGTCGCTGCGCACGCCTCTTCCGCAAAGTGGAACGTTAAAAGATGATGACCTACAGGGCAGTGGCCGCAGCAAGCCGAAGCAAACAATGAACTGATCGGCATCGTGAACAACTTCGTTCTACGCCTGCTCTCTGGTGGACTGGAAAGTATCAGTCTACTCCCGAAGCTATCACATGGCTCACAAACTTAAATATGGAAATGTGTAATTTGAACCGACTTGCCATATGCTGGAAGATGTAATACCTTAAAAGACAAAGCAAATAGTAACGTATTCTGATTGTTACAAAATACGTAATTGGATACACTGCGTTATTTAATACAGCACTGTGAGTCTTTATTGCCATGTTATTGTTAACACTCGATACAATAACAATGCAAGAATAACAGGCAATAACAGGTAATAATTTGTTTTGAGAAATGCTGCGAGTAGTGTAAATGAGTTATGGTATAATCATGTTGCATGTAGGTATATGAATGTGCATTTTATAATGGTCAACACATCACAATAACATTACAAAACGAACGTAATAATTATAGTATGGCTTCTAACAGCAGATGAAATTTGTATTTTGAATGCCAAGCATTTCATAGATATAAAAAAAAACTTTATATAAAATAAATTCAAGCAATTCAATATCTAAAATAAGCCACAACTGTTGTTTTTTTTAATACAAAATATTTGGTAGAAATTCATGTAGTAGATGACTTCAATATATGCTGTAAGCAGACACTTGTACTGCGTTGCTATGAAATTGTTGTTAATCACGCGGAGTCAGACTTGTGGATTCGGTGCATCTTGAGAATCTGCCGTAGTGCCTCTTGTACCTCCACATCCATCTGTCCCTGGCAGATGGGAAGAGTAATTTAATGCGCATTAGGGATATAGTATGTAAAACACAGGATGTAAAAATTTAGATTGAAAACGAATTTCTTTAGAACTGCTTTGTGTTTAGTTTGTTGTGCGATTAGCACAGTTGGCTACGTACGGTGCAAAAGAAGTTCAACATACATACAATGTACACTGTATATTCATTATTATTATGCTTATGGCAAGTCCTCGCTTAACACGTATTAACGCAACACGTTTTCACTATAACGTGTTTCTTCTATCAGAGAACACTTTTCGCAAAATGTGGAATGCGCACCGTTATAATACGGTTTCAAAGTGGTTGGCGATGAATTACTTTCTTGAGCTGCACAGCTGACCGGTATAATACGGATGACTTCAGGGTGATTTTATAGTGCAAATGTGATTCAGTAACAGTGATTGCTCACTTTATGCGGTTTTCACTTTTCAGGAATGCAACTACCACTTTAAATGAGGGATTACTGTATTTACCCAAGAAAACCTCACCGAATCTCAACTCTTTTTCAGGAGGGTCCTGCCAAGTCTTGCTAATGCCAATTTATTAATTTGCTGTTAAATTTACAGAATTGGGTTATTTGGCCAATACTAGTAATATTTTGTTATTTTAGCAATGAGAGTAAACAGAAGACCCTGCAGGAAGCCCATGCAGAATGGTAGAAGAACATACAAACTCAATACAGAATGATGGCCGAATTGGGAATCAAAACCAGGCCCTTCTTGCTGTGATGGCCGAGTGTAACCACTGCACCGCCCTGCCACCAAAATAATTTCACTGGTATATATATATTAACATGATATAAATTCACTGCATGTCTGTATTTCTTGTACATTAAAATACTCACCTGCACAGCGCTGAGTAAGTGCATCCGGTAGACAGACACGACATCCTTGTGGTGCCTCTCTGCCGCCTGACAACAAAAATATTCATGCGAAACTTGAATGATAAAAATACCAGCAAATTATTTCGTATTGTCATCTAGAGAAAAGGTACACTAAAATGCACAAATATACACGTTACTCATTTAAGTTTCGTCAAGAAAAAAACACCAATGCATTTGAATAACGTGCCAATTTAACGTGGGTTTTCTGCTAAGTACCCAACATTGCTGAACACAAATTACAAATGATCACATTGGCCTTGCTTACAGGTGTCAATGTAATTGAGGTGGCCAACCTTAGTGTCCACTGTGTCATACAGAACCTCGGAGCGAAGGGAGCTGGGTGATTGAAGAATAAAGTCAGAGGATGCAACAATAGCCTTTTGGCATAGTAAAATTGATTGACCTTTTACTTCAAGCTTGTTCCAGACATAATTTGGCTGAGCTCCAAAGCAACAAAGAGCAAAGACTTTACCAATTTCATGAAAAATTATATTAGCACTGTAGGTGGCCAGCTAATAGTAATGAGCACAAAGTGACTGATGGCTGGGCATAAATGACTGTTAAAGCCCTTGAGATCAATGCAAGCATTACACCAATGTACTGTAACCACAAAGGCACACACAAATAAATGGTTGTAAAAATTATGATTTTTTTTACAAAAATACTTATTCTTACAACTTTGCTGTTGTAATTTGTATTCCTTGTTTTATGCTTTAAATAAAGTATATTTAAAAATTTGCCCAGATTTATTTCAACAGTGCTATTGACATCATGTCATGAGAGATATATAACTTATTCTGAATCTCTCTAAGTGAAATGTTTATCCAGATATTAGGGCCACAATTTCTTTACCTTTCTTGTACTTTTCCACACTCTCGTGTTTTTATTGTTTGCTGTTGTAATGTTCTTACCCGCCCCTACTGCACATTTGTTAAAAAAAAGCTTCGTAGCTCATCGGATTCCTCCAGTATAAATACATATTCAGATTCTGATCTACACTTGAGAACTGGCTTTCATCATCGCTGGCTGGACCCCGGATGTGAACCCAGGAACCTGAGATCTCAACGGTGTTGGCACAGTAAACTCACCCCTAAATCACCCAGGCCACCACTAGTATTTATTTTATTAAGCTATTATGCCAAAAGCTCTCACCACCAGCTGCTGTTGGGTCAGCTTGAGCTGCTGTTGTAGGCTCTCTGCCTGCTGGCTTGCTCGCTTGCTCCCACTTGATGTGTATGCCAGCTTGGAGAGACTGTTGAGAGCCAGCCTCAGTTTACCAACCTCTTTCTGAAGGTCTTCAATCTGCAAGGTCGTACAATTATGCGTGAAAAGTAAATCGAGAGTCTACCAAATATATAAAGAACAAACATGCTTGACATGTACCCTGATAAAGAGTCTACAGCTGAAGGTAATTTATATATATATACATTTTTGTTCAAGTGGCACAATGTGATTTTGAAAAAAAAATCTCATCATGAGAAGCCATGATAAATCCAAAGCTATATGAAGGCCTCCCCAAGTTCCATGCCCTCCCTCACAGTTCCATGATGTAAAAGTACACCCAGCACCTGCACAACATCCAATCTCATCAGTGCATTTTTGAAGCATGCAATAACTTTGGAGCAATTGTAGTAATTTTTAAATCCAGCACCACTTTCGAGGTGTGGGTTGGTGGATCAGGTAGATTTGTGAGAATATCAAACCTTCTGGGATAGGATGCGGTCAGGACTAAGTGAGTTCCTGAATCAATCTGTGCAAAGTTACATCATACCACCTCATATGGTGGGTTTTCTTTGGGTACTCAGGTTTCCTCCCAAAGGCAAAATCACCCATTCATAAAATTGGCCAAGCATCCCAACGCAGCACACTCCTTAAAAAGAGCCTTGAGACTCAGCAAGGCTATCTTGGTTAATTAAAAGGCATGATCATTATTATTATTCACTTTTTATGGACGATCAATCCACTGTGATCCCTATTTGTGTTGACCATGCTGCAAAGATATTATAGTTCTGGTTTGGTTCAGTAGATGGCAGCATTTCATCTCAAAATGTTAACGTTGCAGTGTAAAACTTCGCTGATGAAAAGTTGCACGTGTAATAACACATGAAGAAGTTACATCATCCACACAGTTAGGTAAATGACCTTGGGAAAGACGCACCTCACGAGATGGGATGGTGGTAAAGAATAATGACAGTGGCAGGCAAGGTAAGGGGCATATCAAAGAATACGGTCAGAGGGAAGATGGAATGGTGCAGTCAGTTTGTGTGTGTGGGTGTTAAGTGGATTATAATGTCACAGGACCATGAGAGTGGTGGCGGTAGCTTGGGGAGTCCTTTATTCAGCAGTGGACTGACCATGGCTGATGATGGTGATGTCTTGGTTCAGTAGATGGCGTTATTTATTTTAAAATGCTAATGTTGTAGGAGACAAATTGGCAGATGAAAAAGCTACATATGTAGTACGTACACTGTCAGACAAATACTGGTTCACATGTCACTGCTTCATCAGTAAATATTAATAATAGGGATAACAATGACCTCATGAGAATGCAACCCAGGTTCAGCTCTTTGAATGGGCTACAACGATAAGAGTGGATGATGACCAACATATATACACACACTGCCACCTTACACTGCACTTTGTAGCGTGCCAATTTCAGAATAAAACTTACACTCGAAATAACCTTTAAAAATACATGCATATCGAATAATATGGCATTTGCACGGACCATTCAAGCATTTGAAGCAACACAGATTAAAAAACAATCAATTGTGTGCCAAGCAAAGAATTAGCTGAAGTGCAAACATTAGCTGATTTGAACGAACCATTGTCTCTTTTCTTTGCAACACGCGCTGATGTTCATGTTTGGTTTTATTGAGCTCCTGAGTAGCCTTCTGCGCCTCGCTGTGGCGCTGCAGAAGTCTTGTTTGTTCCTTCTCAAGGGAAAGGACTTGTGCCTGCAGGCCTTTCTTTTCCTGCTGTGACTTTAAATGGGAGCACTTTATCTGGCTCAGCTCAATATTCACTTTGCTGTGTTCATCGGCAAGAATTGTCAGTTTCTTAGTCAGGGTCTTCAACTCCACATCAAAAGAAGCCTTCATATTACAATATTCCACGTAAGAGGCCATTTCGATTTCATTCCCACCCTTGGTCATGCAATTAACATCTCCAACCTCAGAGGAATAGGACGATAGCTTATCTGTCTTTGTGCCTGGAACACACATTTCATTTGATTCAATTGATACATCTGTGCTGTGGCAATCAACTCCCTTGGACATGTCTTCACTTTGCAAATCACCACTTTTGTGCCCTTTTGTTCCTCCATTAAACTTCCTGTTAGTTGATTTTTCTTCTGGACATAATTGAAGCTGTGATGCCCTTGAATCTTGCATTTTCACAGTATGAATGTCAGAGATGTGTTCTGTGTTTACTTTAGCTACTGCCTCTGCAAACTCTGTTTCATGTGACAACAAGTTTATGTTTTTATCAACTGGTGCATCTTCTTTCGGAACCAAACTTTCTGCACGATTTAGAATTTCTGGAAAGTTTGTTAATGAGTTATCTTCTTTGTTTTGCTCCCCAGTCTGGAGGAGACATTCTTGATTTGTACTATCGGCCACATTGACAGGATTACTCAAGCCCGATCCATTTGGTCTTTGTCCTTTGATGCTGTTTCCAATTGTAACGTTCTCTGAAGTTTCATCGAAAGATTGGAAATTAGATGGGTAAGGCAATTGGCAAGTAGAAAAAGAACTCTGAACATTGGCCTCTGAAATGGTAAATGTGTCAGGGGACTCTTGATCCATATCAGATCTGTTTTTTTGAACTCCAACAGTCATAATCTACGACGGAGAAAAGGGAAAATATGCATTAGGGTGCATGTAGATACAGTGAGGGGAAAAAGTATTTGATCCCCTGCTGATTTTGTATGTTTGCCCACTGACACAGAAATTATCAGTCTATAATTTTAATGGTAGGTTTATTTGAACAGTGAGAGACAGAATAACAACAAAAAAAGCCAGAAAAACGCATGTCAAAAATGTTATAAATTGATTTGCATTTTAATGAGGGAAATAAGTATTTGACCCCTCTGCAAAACATGACTTAGTACTTGGTGGCAAAAACCCTTGTTGGCAATCACAGAGGTCAGACGTTTCTTTGTCAGTGGGCAAACGTACAAAATCAGCAGGGGATCAAATACTTTTTTCCCTCACTGTACACATATATTGGTAGCAGCACTCAGATAAAATACTGAAGTATCTTTCATTTGCACAATAAACAAGACCACTGTTTTCGGTAGCGAACACTGATTTTTTTACCTTGCCTTCTTCTGTTTCGATATTGTGCTGAGTTGTAAAATCACTTTCCTGAACTGCTTTGTAGTTGGAATCACAAGTCATAGTTTCTTGTTCCATTTCGTGCCCTGAGGAGATCACAAAATGTACATTTTGTTCCAAAATTTACAATTTTGCCAAGCACAGCGAGAGTTTTTGTACATCCCTTTTTTCAAATTAAAAAAAAACACCAATGGTAAATCTTCCAGAAAAAAAAGTTATCTTTCACTTGCTCACACCCCATTGGCCTGAGTTGAATGATTGTCTCACACGAGGTGTGGTTGAAAAAATACATCTGGACATGCAATGATACAGCATCACTCACAGGGTTGAATGAAATATAAGAGACAAATTACCTGTCACCCCGTGTTCGCCCCGCTCAGTTGAATCCACAGGTGACCCATGTGGAGTCCGTTTTGCCTGAAACAGAGACCCATCAATGTGCATGCTGCACCGTGAATCAAATTAACGTCGAGTATTAACACAAATATCGTGTCTTTAATATGCTCCTGAAATAATCTAGGGTCACTGCATTATGAAGGGTAATGTGCCACTTAATTAGCTCGCCTTACTTCAATACAATGATTAAATCTCAAAGTATATTCAAGTACTACAATATAAGGACAGTCTATTTAATTAACAAAAATGCATTTTTTAAATATAAAAGAAAATTAATTCAGCTGTAAAAAAATCATCGATTACGTTCACCCAAATTGCATGAATCGACAGCAAAGCTTCTTACATGATTCATTGTGTGTAAACTAGAAGGATATTACTACAAACAATATATACGGGTATGCAATTTATATCATGCTATGTAATTACATTTATTTTAAAAAATATATATATCAAGAATATCTCAGAAGCAAGGAAAATGCATGCATCATTAACTTAAGAGGAAAGTGAAGATAAAAACAGTCATATGGCCAAATTTCGATTTAAAGCTTTCGTGACTGCAAGGATTCATCTTCTTTGGTTCTTTCGGTAAAGTCACGTAGAATGAGAATAAAATAATAAATTGATAAAATAAAATAACACAATAATATTCTCACGACGTTTCGGCCACAACACAAGCGGCCTTCATCAGGTGAAGGGACGAGACTGTCTGGTAGGACAGTCATATGGCCAATTAATGGCACATTGCACACAATTATTGAAATAAATATTATACCAATCAGTGAAGATACCTCCTCAATAAGCTGCCACACCACGACTACTTGGAATTATTTTATACTTTGTATCTTACCCTTTAATGACTATACTATGTGGGAGATGGTAGCCTTCTCGTGGTACACCTGTTACGTGTTTTCACGTGACCTTAACCGCCATCTAGGCCGAATGAACTTAATTCATTCAAATCCAAATAGGATCAGTAGAAATCAATGCCAAAAAGGCCGCTCTAAAGGCCGGAAACTAATCGGACGAGGTCTGTGAGTGTCCCAACTTACCCAGCTATAATGAAGGCCTCTCAACACCTAAATGTGACCTGCTGGCCAGAAACCTAATGGAGAACAACAATGACGTTGTCGCCTTACAGAGGATGCATGTTGACGACAGCACGTGGATGGTGAGTGATAAAAAAATAAATGGGTACATCCTTATTGCTGCAACCTACCACATCACCTCAATACCTTCATCAGGCAAGGCCAAAATAACTATGTTCTTAAGTCTACGATCACAAGTGACAACACATCAATAATAACCATCGCAGTTGGTCATGTGATTGTAATCAATGTATATAAGCCCCCGAATAAAGAATTTCCATCGCCACCACAGCTATAGACGTGGGTGACTTCAATAGCCACCACACACAATGGGGCTATTCAGGATGCCGGAGAGAAACTTGAGGAATGGTCGTCAGCATGAGACAAATTCCTTATATGACCATAAACAGCCAGGTGCATGTTACTCTCCTGGCTCCCTGTTCTTGCGAACATTCCATCACCCAATATCCAAAGAGACATGCAAACTGCAAAGAAGTGTAGATGCTTTCTTGCCAACGACAACTGCTCCATCACCCAAGACCTCAAAAAGGTACCTCACTATCAACTCAAGTCCCCATCCCCCTTCAGGATTCATGCTGTTACCATCCTACAATCTTATCCAGATCCGGAAGAATGCTGAAGAACAGAGTGGAGCAACAAGGACATCCAGAAAAACCACCTCAGTCGAATCACAAAGAACACACCTCCTGTCTTTGACATTCTTCAAAGACACTGGTGAAACCATCAACTGCATCAGAAAATCAACAGGCCAATGAACACACATCCTTCATAATGGAAATTGAAATAGAAGTTACAATGTGACCATGGCCGTGCAACCAAAACTATGGACCATATAGTAAACCACCGTAGTCTGCGCTCCTTCAATGAAGGAATAGCAAAACTACACAGACTCTCTCCTGAAGAATTCTCGTGGCTAGCAGCTTCTGAACAAATTGCCATAAACAAGAAGAGAATAGAACTGTTCTACTTCGTAAAACATCCTGATCATTTAGTTTCAGGTCTAAATAACAGGCAGACATAGGGTAGAGTGACATAAAATTAGGAAAACTGTCAAATGGAAATATTTATAACAGACTTACAAAGCAAGTTATAAAGGAATGGGGAAAATTCGTGCTACTAGGCAAGGCGATGCCACTATATTTGACAGGTTGGTGTTTTTGACTCATAGTGCAATGTACATATTTTGTGTAATTCAAGGAAACACAAATATGAAGGTTCAGAGAACCTATATTTGAAATTGATCCTCAACGTATTCAATGGGTCTTTCGGTAAAGCCACGTAAAGCCACCTGATGATGATTGCTTGCGTTGCGATCGAAACGTCGTGATACTTTTATTATTTTTTCTATCTACGTGGCTTTACCGAAAGACCCAAAGAGTATGAATTCCTGCAGTCACGAAAGCTTTAAGTCAAGATCCTCAACGTTTATAAAAGTACAAACAGAAAAGGAGTTATCTGAACGTATTTACATAGACCAGATGCATCAACAGCAACCCAAACTGGGCCACTCTTTTACTCCCACCTAGGGAGGGATGCTGGGATAGAGGCAGTTGACTGGCACATGGTAAAACATGTTGCGCTCACCCACCGACCCAAAAAGACAAGTAAACTGCACGCACCGCTTCATGCCTGCTTTCTTCAAGCAAGCATTCCAGTTCTTGAATTCTCCGTGTCATCGTGAGCTGTTTCGTCTGCATTTTGTCCAACGATTCTGTTAACGCCTCATTTGTCTTTTCAAGTACCTGTAATACAAATGTTGGATTATAAGAAGCATTCTTTTTGTATAGTTGATGAAAATTGCATTGAAATAAAAGGTATTGCATATACTATTTAGAAGGTTTCTCTATATTACCAGTTGATCATGTCTTTAAAAGAAAAGACACCTAAATTAAAGATTCCATAATTTTGTAAAAACCCATGCAATAATATTTTCTGGGAGTTGGCAGAAGCTTTTGACCTTATAACCAATAAATGTTAACATCCCCAAAAACATAACAGAGTTGCCATCCACGATGAGAGGTACATTTTCAAATGGTGGATTTGAAAACCAAAATGTTATTTTATTTTCTACCCGTATGCTTCTAACATATGGTCCCGGTGAAATTACAAACAAAATGTGAACCAAAAACACGGATATGACTCCTATGAAAATAAAATGAAGCAAATCTAAATCCCTATATGTACACAGTTGTATATATTTTGTATGCAATGTCTGGCCAATTTTAGTAGCACATATTGATAACAAAATGTGACCATAAATATATACATACCTATACATTACATTTTGTATCCGAAATGCCTATGCATATAAAGTAGATTCTATATGAACTGAACATATACTCTAACACTATTATTTTGCAAGAATAGATTTCTTGACAGCCTTTATTCGAATGGAATATGAAAAAGGTGATGTTTCTTGTACTTCTTAAAATGGATAGACAATATATTTAAATAAGCACACCAATCTACAAAAAACATGAATGCATGAGTCACCATGATTACAATCCACATACATACAGTGAGGGAAAAAAGTATTTGATCCCCTGCTGATTTTGTACGTTTGCCCACTGAAAAAGAAATGATCAGTCTATAATTTTAATGGTAGGTTTATTTGAACAGTGAGAGACAGAATAACAACAAAAAAATCCAGAAAAACGCATGTCAAAAATGTTATAAATTGATTTGCATTTTAATGAGGGAAATAAGTATATGACCCCTCTGCAAAACATGACTTAGTACTTGGTGGCAAAACCCTTGTTGGCAATCACAGAGGTCAGACGTTTCTTGTAGTTGGCCACCAGGTTTGCACACATCTCAGGAAGGATTTTGTCCCACTCCTCTTTGCAGGTCTTCTCCAAGTCATTAAGGTTTCGAGGCTGACGTTTGGCAACTCGAACCTTCAGCTCCCTCCACAGATTTTCTATGGGATTAAGGTCTGGAGACTGGCTAGGCCACTCCAGGACCTTAATGTGCTTCTTCTTGAGCCACTCCTTTGTTGCCAACAAGGGTTTTGCCACCAAGCACTAAGTCATGTTTTGCAGAGGGGTCAAATACTTATTTCCCTTATTAAAATGCAAATCGATTTATAACATTTTTGACATGCGTTTTTCTGGATTTTTGTTGTTGTTATTCTGTCTCTCACTGTTCAAAGAAACCTATCATTAAAATTATAGACTGATAATTTTTTTGTCAGTGGGCAAACGTACAAAATCAGCAGGGGATCAAATACTTTTTTCCCTCACTGTATTACCACCAAAGTGACTATGTTACCGTTAATGAGCACGTTTTAATTTGATTTAATAAAAAAAGTGTATTTCATAGAATGTGGATTGTCTCGGTTCGTTGATCAAATAATTTTCTGCAATTTATAACGAAGAAGCTTAGTTAAGTGTGATTGCTTTAGAAGATACACATTGTACACATGTAGTTAGAAACACTGACTACAATTGTAGCATTTGGCGGGACCCTGGGGTCCCGCAAAAATCAGGTCAATAATTATTATTTTCCAGTCCGCCCACTCGTGATCCCGACAGCAACGCGCCGCCCGCCCAGACTCGCGCCAACAAGCGCCAGCAGCAGGCGGCGATCGACACGATGGGCGCCACCCCACCGGCCAAACGCAAGGCCGGGGGGCGTCCGCCGCAGTCGCGCGCGGCGACGACGCCCTCCGGTCAGCCGTCGATCCTCAGCTTCTTTGCCAAGGCGAGCCCGCCCCCCAGGCAGTGAATTTAACGTGTTTATGTAATTTTTCAACTTTTTACGAAACTTAGTGCCCCGAGTAGCTCTCGACGAGGCCAATCGATTGACCACCAGTTTTGTTGTTGTCGGTAAGGCAACAAGACTCGTGTCGCTACGCGGTTTTTCCCACCCCGGGGCAGTGATGGGACCCCGGGGTCCCGCCAATTGCTTCAATTGACAAAAAAACTCAACACATTCGTCCATAGCATTGCCGTCAAAGAAAAATACGTAAATAGGTTACTTTTTACAGCAAAATCCCTTCTTCAATGGCGGTTTTGGACAATGGCTACAATTAGTCACATGACTAGAAGGAAGTCAGAATGCCATTTATTGTAATACAACTATATGGAATGTATTTGTACGTGATTATTCTCATCCCTAAATACCTTATTAGAAACACAACTGATTTAGTTTCTCATTTCCAAGACATGGATACATAGCCGTGAACTACTGCTCAAAAGTACCAGAGAAGTAGTGAGTGGAGGAATACAAGGCCACATCACAGAGCAGTAATTTAGAAGGGGACACGTATGTATACTAATTATCCGATCCCTATTATCTTCAGTACCATTATGGTGTGTGTGTGCACAGCTAAGCCAGGATTGAAGATAACCAATGCTAAGCTATCTGAACGATGTGACCAAGCCTTTGGCAAAAGATAGACATTATCCTTATCAGATGCAACATTTTCACAATGTGCAAAAATGGCCTGCAAAAATTAATCCGTAGCATTCATACAACGGAATTTAAAGTGTGTAGAAAAAAACCCAGCTGTCTATATTGGCATAGCTTTCCAGTGCATTCTGACCTTACTTGCTAAAACAAGTGACAATAAACATCAAGTCGGTTAAAATTCACATAAAAGAGATACAAATTCACGTAAAATGTAGATATGACATGCACTTGTGTAGCTACAATTGCCACTTAGTATATAACTTTTAAAAAAGTGATTTAAAGCTTTTGTAACTGCAGGAATTCATACTCTTTGGGTCTTTCGGTAAAGTCACGTAGATAGAAAAATAATGTATCACGACGTTTCGCTCGCAACACAGGCAATACAATACAATGGCCACTTCCACAGCATCAGGGAAACCATCTCTAGCCCTGCCCTCTTACCCTGAGGGGGCTCCCATCTCAGGCCTATATAAGATGTTGCTTCAGTAGCTTTCTCTCTCTCACCTGAAGACGATTGCCTGTGTTGCGATCGAAACGTCGTGATGTATTATTTTTATATCTACGTGACTTTACCGAAAGACCCAAAGAGTGTGTTGAAAAAAAGTGTCACGATACGCCTCATTGTACCAGTATATGCTACTGCTCACCGAATCCCCAAAAGGTTTTGTGATGGTAAAGTTGTTGGTCTTGTTGCCATAACAATGCCAATAACTAATCAGTGCTAACACAGCCAAAATTTAATGTATGGCATTATTGCAGACAATTGGATGCTAACTGTCCTCCTAGCATGCTACATGAGCATAATTTCTGCACCGAGGGAAAGCACTAAAAGGTCATGGTGTTTCCTGAGACAAGAATCCATGTTAAATTGTGCACTCCATCACCTGCGTTCCACATTTCATTTACATACTAAAGCAAATCAATACAATATATATATAAATAAAGAAAACACTCAATTAATATTTTGTTGAGATAAGTGACTGAAATAAAAGGTTATTTTTTTCTATTTGTTTTTGCTTAACTGCATTAATCAACAAAGACCCAGCTTGCATCAGGCACTCAATAAGCTCATTATGCTGACTTTTTCCCAAAGTGCTGTAAGCCTACAAAAAACATAAAGAAGAGGTTATCAGACATTGTTAATGTTGTAATGTCCCCTTGCATAATGAATGTTGTCTTCCATGGCTATTGTGCAGTGTGCGATTTAGGATACTACATTAACTGGTATATCATATTTGAACAGAGTAACACACTAGTTTTTAATGCAATGATGTTTTACAATATTTAGTCAATACAATGTGGGGGAATGGGGGGGGGGGGGGTGATGCAGTGGTTAGTTTGCTGCACTGTGAACTTCACAACCTGAGTTAAATTCCTGACCATGGCTAACATAAGTGGCAAGTTATATGTGAACCAGTCCTGGGTCACACCCTTATTATCAACCTGCATTGACCAGCATGGTGAAGTATGCTGAAAACAATCCTTATAATGAAATAGATTGAGGTGGCCTTCATCCAGCAGTGGACTGACATAGTGCTTCAAATTATTTCACAATGTGGTGAATGCCCATTACCTTTGCTTCTGGTTAAGCTCTGCTTTGAACCATCGTTAAATTTGCAAGGAATATTTCCTGTAAAATCCCAAACATATGTCCTAGTTTTTAAACATTACAATACTTTTACACAATAGCCTTACCTTGTTCCTTTCAATTACCTCCTCTATTTCCGCAGCTGCAAATGAAAAAAAATGAATACACTGGATCAAATTCTCATTTTGGCAATGTATTATAAATTTTTGTATAAAACATTATGAAGATTCGAATACAGTCTCTTTGTAAACTCAATTTCGTTTTTCCATTTACTATTTTAATAAAAGTGATAGTTTCAGATGGAATGTAGGAAAACAACTATCAATCAACCAATTGAATGCTTCGAATGGTTTTATGGTAGACAATTTTCATTTGAAATTTACAAACAGCACCAATACATACCAAGAATATGATAACATATTATTTAAACAAATGCATTTAAAATGTACGATTCCCGGTCAAGGTGACTTTAATCAATCAGCGATTATCGTGTAAATTATATTTTGAACACGTTTCAATGTAAGCAACACTTGCATTGTAGAAACTCTAATTTCGATGACTGCCACATTTTAAACTAACGATTCTGCAAAGTGCAAACTGCATTGCATACGTGAGTGCGCCATTCTACGCACCATGCGAGCTCATCCGCGTGGCGGACTGCACAAGCGTGAGCATCGTGGGGTTCCCAGAGCGACAGGCGTAGTGCAGGGCGCTGTGCCCTACCGAGTCCACGACCATTGGCTCGGCTCCGTGTTTCAGCAGCAACTCCACTGTGGCCAAGTGGCCTCCCTCACAGGCCAGCATGAGCACCGTTCTACGAGCCGCAGGGTCAGAACCACAAAACAATTGGACGAATGCGCCGTGATAGATGGAATCGAATCTGCTGCACACAGTGTTACATAACGATCGTGTTTCATTTCACGTGTGCGGATATTAAAAAAAAACTGGCATGCGTTTGCTTACGTGAAAGTGTGCCAAAAGGTCCCGTCAAAAAATGTCTTTATTGCACACAATTACTCATGTATTACAATGTTCTCCTGTGCGGATGATGATGACATTTGACTTCGATAGTGTTCTGGCATATATTCACAATGCTTTGGTGAAGCGTACGATAAACTTTGTAGCTGATTGAAAATTGCCAATGGTAATTGAAACTCATTATATTGTGACAGAAAACACACTATCACTTTTTCCGAATGCAAAGTGATAATAGCAACATACATTGGATTAAAATGACACGCACAGGATTACGGGACAGGTTTGACATTCATCTCTTGCGAATATATCTGAAGTAATGATGAGTACATTTAATATTTTGTTAATTTGGCAATGTGTATACAAGACTTAACTTAGGTGAAACGTTTCCCTTCTACGTAACTTTACCGAAAGAACCAAGAATATGAATCCCTGCAGTCACGAAAGCTTTAAATCAAAAATTTAAACACCCTCATGCATTGTTAAATTAAATTAGCTAAATGGAATTTGTGAAAGTGTTTACAATCTAAAACATGTTAATGTGTTGATAATGTACTTGAATGCATTGTACCATGTCTGGGCCTAATATATGTAGCCAAATTTTCATTGTACTAAGCGCCATCATAAACAAAATACAATTTTTAGATCAATGGTTGTACCAAAGTTGCTCTGCTAATGTAAAAATGTCCCATGTTTTATTCAAACGTGTTATATAAACTCATTTTCTAAAACTTCTTTATAAAAAAAATAACTCGTGCATTTGTACAAATAGATTCAAACTAAATCAAGCCTTTGAAAATACAGATTAGTTAGAGACAGTCTTGACACCATGGTTATTCTACAGCAACCAAGGCCAAAAGATTGTAAGTCCGTACGAAAAATACTCTACGGCCTATATGTAGAATCTATTTTTTTAGATTTTCAGACTTGGGTAATTTTGATCGTGTACTATTGCAACATGTATTTGCGCTAACAATACTGATGTCACCTGATGCCACGTAACACCACTTTGTGGTGTGAAAAGCATAGAAGTTATGTCATATTTGTGTTGTTTCTTCAGATTTTTTTAAACAAATAAAACCTTCAGATGATCCGAAATTTCACATCTACGCATGATTGTTGAATTCTTAAGATTAACCCAAAAATTGGGAGCACATCACGAACACATACATTTACATTATGCATTCACAAAAATATAACTATAGTTTATGACATTATGCCCCAAAATAAAGTCCCTTGCACCATAAACTCCATTATTTAGAACTGAAGTTAAATGGGTCACCATTGAATGTTTGGATGCCACATTAACATTCATGTCAGTAAATTCAATGCTTGACTATTTAGTGTGTGCAGTTCTATATTGAACGGTAAGTGTGCAGCCGTGCGTTGACGGTCAAGAGCAGACAACATTGGGCTGGATGCCACAAGTACCACAGTGTGGCCGTGGTCTGGGCGAGAAAGCTTACTTGAGTTCCTTATTGAATGCATTTACATCTGCTCCTCGATCCAGTAGATGCTTGCAAACTTCAACTCGTCCCAATCTACCGGCCAATGCTAACGCAGTGTGACCTTCCTGAAAGCATGCCAGGTGGTCAAACACATCTTTGAGATAAAGGTTATGAATAGAATCCCACAGACACAGGTACCAATGTTCACACTTTGTTTTCAGTCCAGAACATTTTCTGTCCACTTATTGAGGAATAAAAGATATGTTGGTTATTTATTACGATAACAAAAATGGCATACATAATGTAAAAAATACAAATTTCAGCCATGTTTTTTTAATATATAATTGAGTAACATGTAGTTAATATTTGTTCACAACAATACATTTTATATAAATATAAAATGAAAGGAAAAATACAATGAGGGTTTATGTGGTCTTTCAAGTCACTGACCAAGTCTCTGGCATCCACAAAGGCCTTTTGATCACAGAGAAACTGTACACACGGTACAATGCCAGAAATCGCTACGGAGACAAGAAAAAAAGATGACAAAAGCGATTCCCAAACTTGTTTCAGGATGAAATAAAGCTCTTAAAAACTTCATACCATGTACATCAAACACGTTACTTAAATATCTATTTTTGTTTCACTCTACCAGGTAAGGCCCACTGAGCTACACAGCTCTTTTCAGAAGTGACCTGGCTACAGATGATAGCTCAACGAGGTGGCTTATTACAGTGAGGTAAAAAAGTATTTGATCCCCTGCTGATTTTGTATGTTTGCCCACTGACAAAGAAATGATCAGTCTATAATTTTAATGGTAGGTTTATTTGAACAGTGAGAGGCAGAATAACAACAAAAAAATCCAGAAAAACGCATGTCAAAAATGTTATAAATTGATTTGCATTTTAATGAGGGAAATAAGTATTTGACCCCCTCTCAATCAGAAATATTTCTGGCTCCCAGGTGTCTTATACAGGTAACGAGCTGAGATTAGGAGCACACTCTTAAAGGGAGTGCTCCTAATCTCAGCTTGTTACCTGTATAAAAGACACCTGTCCACAGAAGCAATCAATCAATCAGATTCCAAACTCTCCACCATAGCCAAGACCAAAGAGCTCTCCAAGGATGTCAGGGACAAGATTGTAGACCTACACAAGGCTGGAATGGGCTACAAGACCACTGCCAAGCAGCTTGGTGAGAAGGTGACGACAGTTGGTGCGATTATTCGGAAATGGAAGAAACACAAAAGAACTGTCAATCTCCCTCGGCTTGGGGCTCCATGCAAGATCTCACCTCGTGGAGTTGCAATGATCATGAGAACGGTGAGGAATCAGCCCAGAACTACACGGGAGGATCTTGTCAATGATCTCAAGGCAGCTGGGACCATAGTCACCAAGAAAACAATTGGTAACACACTACGCCGTGAAGGACTGAAATCCTCAAACATGGAGGTGGAAACATTATGCTTTGGGGGTGATTTTCTGCTAAGGGGACAGGACAACTTCACCGCATCAAAGGGACGATGGACGGGGCCATGTACCGTCAAATCTTGGGTGAGAACCTCCTTCCCTCAGCCAGGGCATTGAAAATGGGTCGTGGATGGGTATTCCAATATGACAATGACCCAAAGCACACGTCCAAGGCAACAAAGGAGTGGCTCAGGGAGAAGCACATTAAGGTCCTGGAGTGGCCTAGCCAATCTCCAGACCTTAATCCCATAGAAAATCTGTGGAGGGAGCTGAAGGTTCGAGTTTCCAAACGTCAGCCTCGAAACCTTAATGACTTGGAGAAGATCTGCAAAGTTGAGTGGGACAAAATCCCTCCTGAGATGTGTGCAAACCTGGTGGCCAACTACAAGAAACGTCTGACCTCTGTGATTGCCAACAAGGGTTTTGCCACCAAGTACTAAGTCATGTTTTGCAGAGGGGTCAAATACTCATTTCCCTCATTAAAATGCAAATCAATTTATAGCATTTTTGACATGCGTTTTTCTGGATGTTGTTGTTATTCTGTCTCTCACTGTTCAAATAAACCTACCATTAAAATTATAGACTGATCATTTCTTTTTCAGCGGGCAAACGTACAAAATCAGCAGGGGATCAAATACTTTTTTTCCCTCACTGTAAGTGGACATTTATAGCAGCCAAATACTCTAAACACATGTTGGATTCTAAACGTGGAGGGAAAAAAACCAGAGGAGCCAGTGAAAAATTGAAGCAACCACTGGGAAAATGTGTACCAGGCGAGGGAGATAACATCTCGCCACGGTGGCACCCAATTTGGTGTCTTGGTGAGTATAATTGATTATATGAACTACTTCCACATATATCACAGATGTAGGCCAGATTTCAGATATGTTAATGTACTTCTGCAATTATTTTACTGTCAGAGAGTCCATTTGCACATAATCAAGAGTAAAATATGTAAAATGGAAGGGGGGATACTTAACAAAAAAATAAAGGTTATGAATTATTAAAATTGAGACAAAGTAATGTTGACAAAGCCCAGATGAGGCTTAGTGGGCAGAAATCAGAAGATCCCAAACCACACCAGTCCTGAGCTGCGATTAGTTGGGAATTGTGCCTTCTGTCAAAAGCTGAACACCTGTGCTTAAGACTGCTTCTCACGAATGTAAGTGCTGTGCAGTATTTTTTTGGGTTGAAATATATAAAGAAAAAACAAAGACGACATAGCAAGCACAAAGCTGCCTGATAAAGCACAGCTCAATATAAGCACCATGGAGGTGTAAAATAGAGAAATCACTCTCACCTGCATGGTGCAGAGCTGTCAAACCACTCGGATCCACAACCTCCACGGGATACTTGTGCTAATTAAAATAAAATGTCAAAACAAATTTAAAATACATGCCCTTTTAGCACGATATTGTAAAATGATAGATGCAGGGTTTGATAAGAAATCGTAATAATAGGGTTTTTCCCCTTTTTTCTGCAACAAAACTGAAACCTTTTTACAAGGATTCATGTCTGCATTAACCACAATACCTGCAGTCAAAATGTAAACAAAAAACATACTATGATAATATATGTATTGTCCTTGAAACTGATTGGTCCACACCAAGGGACGGCTTTCTTGAAACTGATTGGTCAGTTTCAAGGACAATGCATATATTATCATAGTATGTTTTTTGTTTGCATTTTGACTGCAGGTATTGTGGTTAATGCAGATATGAATCCTTGTAAAAAGGTTTCAGTTTTGTTGCCAGAAAAAAGGGGAAAAACCCTATTATTATATTTTGGTACTGGTTAAAAGAGGTCTAATGATGAAGAAATAGTAGTTTGAAAATGTGCTTAATTAATCAGATTAATGTCTCAACCAAAACATTACAGTGCTAATGCAGTCATTCATGCTCTCACAAACCAAGAATTTAAGATGGTACAGCTTTACTGAAATTGCATGAATAAAGTAATAACATGCTTAAAAAGAGAGTCAGATAAGGAGATATGCTCTCACCAAGGCTATGTACATTAACATAAAACATTTAAAAAAATAACACTGGTGAAATAAAGGTGTAAACAAAAATGGAGAAAACATTAACCAAGTCAGATTTGCTGATAACAGTCATTATAACAACCCAATTAAATTAACTACAGGAAATAATTAGAGAGCTTAAATCAGGATGCAAAGTTAAATATAAATATGCAGTCATGCAAGCAAAACAAAGTCACGCGCAAAAAATCTTCTGCACAAAAAGAAATTCATTGTTGGAGGAACACAACTGGAAAACACAAGAGAATTTGTACACCTAGGGTGATAACTGAAGACGGACTGGGATCAAAATTCTGAAATAAGAAGGCAAGTGAAAGCAAGTTGGAGTAATTTTGTATAATAAAATTTTGGTATAGCAAAGCAACAAAAGATGCACCTAAAGAGGTACATTTTGAATCAAAGCACATTACATGCCATGACATATGAATCGGAAAATATGAGTAGCAACAAAGAAAATGGCACAAAAGATGAAAAGTGCACGAAGACACATGGAGAGATACATGCTAGGATTGACCCTGACAGAAAGAAAAAAACACACTCATCAGTGAGCAAACATAAATCAGAAACATCGAGTGACCGTAAAAAAATAAATTAAGTGGGTTCGGAACGCTGAGGCAAGGTCCATGGGTACTCTCCGTAGTTTTATTTTCTGGGCAGCATAGGCTCACTTTTCTAAGGGAGCTAATCACCTTAGCTGGGCCACCTTCTGAACCAATTTGTACCATAAACGGGGACCACAAAGGATCAGGATAAACTTTTGAATGGGTTAGCCCCACAATATTTGCAGGAACTGATCCATTTATAATCTCTTAGGAGGTCCCTGAGATGTTCGGACAACATTCTTCTAATTACTTTGAGGTCAAGACTCTGTTCCTGGAGTGGTTGGGCTTTTGCAAGCACGGCTCCCAGAACATAAAATGCTTTGCCTTTAGTAATTAGATAGTCATTATATGTATTTAAATATGTATTGTAAACCCATCTCTTCAAATTGGCCTTTACCCTCTAGATCTGACTGTTTCCCCTGGTTCTGTTTTTATTACCTGGTTTCCATACATGGCACGTTGGGAACTACAAATGAAATGCGCCTTAATTTGTTTTATTATTATTCTTCTTTGGGGCATCCTGCCATTAGGTCCACATGAATGCCATGTTTTTGCTTACAAAAAAACTGAGAACACGTTTAAAGATTCTAAGATGATGTTGCTGTACAAGAAAACTGAGGCATACTTTAATGTTGTAACAATTATTTGACAAAAATTACAACTGATTCCCTGTGGCCATGGAGGGAAGGGAGGGTGAGGGGAGGGTGAGGGGAGATGGAGTTGGAGGCCCTGATTGATATTTACAATTGAAACGCACCATTCACAAACAACGCGGGCATTCACATTATCACGCTTTGTCTTAATAAGCACTTTCACCCGTTTGGCAATATCTGTAAAATACAGAATTTACACAAAATATACAATTTAAAAACATGTTTTACAAGCATTATTTGCTGCACCATTTCCATTCTAAAAGTGTATCCCAAGCAGCGGTTATTACCTGTATAAGCTTGCGGACACACTGTGTATGACCGTTCTTGGCAGCCAGGTGAAGGACGCTTAATCCTAAATGTTGAATAAAAAAGGGCACAGAACTTGCACGCGGTTTCAACACTTCATAATAAAGGTTTTTGGGTTAGATCGCGTAAGTATAAATATGTCGTAACCCTCCACCACCCGACACAGCCAATTAGTAAGGGATTTGTCACGTAAACAAAACGTCAATAGTTACTTCAGTTCACCGGTGTGTTGGAGAGTAAATGTTGTGGATTTACATACGCGATCTAACCCAAAAACTTTTATTATGATTAATATTGGTCGCGAAAGCCTACTACGTGTTAAACTGGGTTGCAACGTTCCTCATTAAGCACAATGCTTTTTTTTGTCATGGCTTATATTTGTATCAGCATCATGTAATGATAAAAAACTTTGAAAACACTGGCATAACTCCATATTCCTGGTTAAAGCAATCATAAATGAAAATTAAAGTCACTGTGGCAACTGAAAATGTTCTTACCAGATGGATCGAGTAAACCAACATCAGCTCCATGGGACAGCATGACGTCTAAGCAATCAGAACTGCCTTTTATCACAGCCAGATGCAGCCTAGTGACATGAAAAGCAGATTATAAGCATACAACTATTAAGAGTCGGTCTTATCGTGATGCGTTGGATTAAAAAGAACACAAATTGTCCATGAAAATGTAAAAAACACGAATAAAGATTTTTTAAATCTATACATGCACCATTGTATTAATCTGATTGTTAATTTAAGTAAACAATTTAACTTCGTCAGTTGGAAATTTTATTTCCTAAAAACAGATGCAGCATTATACTACAGTATATAGGCATGCTCAGAGGATGACAAACTCTTCTTGATAGATAATATTGTTTTATATTATTGTTTTATATTTTTATTATGTTATTGTTTCCCTTCTACGTGACTTTACCGAAAGAACCAAGAATACTGAATATTACCACAAGAACATTGCCATATTTGTGATTAATCATACAGCAGGGCTGTTTAAAATATGTTCAGGTCAACTATTTTCACCTTAGTAAGGTTGTGTTGCTTTGAGAACAGCAAGTAATAGACATGCCCTACTTTAAATCAATGCTGCTAAGATGCTGTCTCAGCAGAACGTGCAGCTGATGGATTGTGTAAAAAAATTTTTTATGTGCAGTGACAAATATGGCGAGGAGGCGTTATTAATATTTTGTATTAACATTCTCTACAATTACAATTATTTTCTGTTACATACTATACATTTTGATTTAAAGCTTTCGTGACTGCGGGGATTCATATTCTTGGTTCTTTCGGTAAAGTCACGGGAGAATTTTATTATTTTATATTTTTATTATTTTATTGTTTCCCTTCTACGTGACTTTACCGAAAGAACCAAGAATACATACTATACAGTTTTTCTGCGAAGTAGAACCCATTTCTTACAGAATGGGTCCTTGTCTTTAAACACTGAATTTCACCAGCGATAAGTTCAAAGAAGCTTGACTCTGCTGATGATATTATGAATGTTGAAACCAGTCCAGAGTTTTGATTTATTAACCCAATGCTTGATAATAAGATGGACAACCAGAAGCCGATGTGGCCGTGGGTTGTGCATAAAAAAACATGTATTTTTTAAGGGGAGAGACTAATTTGGAGGAGGAGGCGTTAGTGATCTTGCCCGAATGACTTGTGACCATTCTCCTCCTGACATCATTTAATCATTGACGAAAATCATATTATGGTGTGCCGTGAAAACAATAGCGTTTAAACTGGAATGTTAGTGCCGTGGCCATCAGCCTAGGAGGCTAGAAGTTACTCTTCAAATTCTCAACGAATACATAGCTTAGGAGCATGAACAAAGGTGCCTTCTTTAACATGAACAAGCGTGTTCAGGCTCAAGGTCAAAGGGACAAGGAATCTGCAATCCATCCAAATTAATGTCCTTTTACACAATTAATAATTTATCCTTTCAATTATTGAAGGAATATTATAGCAAATTGGATTTTTATATTGCAATAATTACATACTTTGTTTGCTTGGTGAAGTATGATCTAACAACCCCCGTGACGGGTGGGGTGTTGGAAAGCCTACAGAATAAGATCGACAAAGGGATGAAAGTCATTAATTTATGGAATTCTAACTGCACTGTTATATTTCCGTAATTCAATTGATAGAATTGTTCTTGGAATTGACTTAGATTTAGAATGAGTGAAGGGTGGATGGGAGGTTGAGGGGTCAGAGCACTTAGTTGGTCATGATAAGATCCTGGGTTTTAATCAGAGCAGTCGCCCATGATCAGTGGTCGGCAACAAAAATACCAAGAAGAGAGATTTTTGTCGAATTCTTAAAAAAAAACTCCCAATATTTCAAGAGCCTAAATGCATGTAAATGCGAGAAGATCCTTAATAAATAACGTCACAAAGCAGTCCCTAAAGAGCCGTATGCGGCTCCGGAGATGCAGGTGGCCGACTCCTGCCCATGATTAATCCGGGTTCGCAAGTGTGGCAAGCTCATCAAGCTCAGCATGGTCATCGAAACCGACACACACAAAAACCGTCACATTCAATTACTTTTTTTTACATTTAATTTGGCTAAATTGCTGCTCGAACAGTTAAATATATTGGGTTGACTTCTAAAGCTGCCATGAAGTCGTTAATATATCATTTTTCTACGCTGCAGGGTGTATGGAAAAATGTAGCATCCCCTTGTGTGGATAAAATAATTGTATTTAGAATCTCAGAAGTGGTTTGTAATATCTCCATCAGTGTGCAACGACGCCTTGTTTACATTGTAATGGCTGCATGCAGGAGAGTGGAGTATGTTAGCGTGGCGGGTTTTTCAGTAGAACATTTAGTAGAACACGTTAAAGAATGCCAAGATTGCAGGCCTAATAATAAGGCCATCGATCCCACATTCACGGTGTTTGCACTGCCTCGACCTTAAACATATTTGGAGGAATGTGAACATATTCGGAGGAATGTGTTCACTGTTGCGCGCTTCCCCGAGAGCACAGAGGCTGTGTATTTGGCGGCCAAATGACAAGTATAATGGCGGCATCGGTGTAGTAAGAGGCCACACCTCGCTCATTCCGAGCTTGAAATGGCGGTTACTGGCTTGTCATCTCGCCGAGGCCGACAACCAGACCGTGGATTGGTTGAGTCAAGAATCCCTGGAGCCGAGCAAGTGGTCACTTCTGGTGGTAACCAGGAGGTTCGTGATTCCCCAGATTAAATGGTTCGCATCCAAAAAAATGCAAAAGTTACCGCCGGTATGGAGCTGTGGTCATGGACGTGATATCCGATTGTTGGACGGGGGGACTAGGTTACTCCTTCCACCCATTCCTACTCATTCAAAAGTCGTTGAAGAAGATTGCTCGGGATGGAAATAAGGCCATCTTAATCGCCCCAGTTGAAAGTTGTTTTGTCTCTAATTAATTAGAACAAGACAAGCATCTACAACATTGATCTAATATAAATCCAAGGTTGACCTAATAATTTTATGTCAACAAAATTAAAGCACAGCGAGGTAACATTCTCTTGTGACATTTTAAAGTACCTTCAAATGACTTTGAACTTTAGAGCTTATTTGTATTTGAGAGATAATTGTGTATCGTGCACTCTCTGTGGAACAGGAAGCCAAGAGCAATCCATCCATCCTGCCTACTGCTACAAACCGCATGGGCTGTGTAAATGCTTGGTGTTTGTGTATTTGTACTTTTTTATTAGCTGTCAGCATGGGCCTTTAAAACAAATTAAATCAGTTCAGTGTCACAGACGTTTCTTCACTCCAGTTGGGCCAAAAAACCATATGAATGTTTACTTGTTGGAATTATAATGAATATTACGATTTACTGTCGTCTGTTAAACCAACTAGCATACATTTTTATTTTCTATTTTGTAATAGTTAATTGGTTAACCATAGCTACGCAGTGATTGTATATACTAGAATTTAAGATGTGGGTTACTTGAGCACTGACAGCAGTTCATAATAGCATACTCTTGCTAATCTCACTACTTTTGTTTTCGTTCAGAAACTTTTTATTTTTTATTTAAAGCTTTCGTGACTGCAGGGATTCATATTCTTGGTTATTTCGGTAAAGTCACGTAGAAGGGAAACAATAAAATAATAAAAATATAAAACAATAAAATTCTCACGACGTTTCACCTGCAACACAACCAATCATCATCAGGTGTGACAACCACAACGTGACTTTACCGAAAGAACCAAGAATATGAAATTTTGTATAGTCCATTATAATGTGCTCGATGATAATTTCCAACAGAAGTTAAATAAAGGAATCATATATTATAACACTTGGACCGGTGATGAGCTAGTCACTGGTTGACCTCGATTAAAATGCAAAGCAAATCTGTTACTTTGTGCAATGTAATGCAGAAGCTAGGAAGTGATATCATCACAATGTGTTCTCTCGAATAGGAGACCATCATTATTAAAAAGTAAGAGATCATGAATAGCTGTGACCAGCTTATGTTATAGCTCCTTATGGATCAGGAAAGATTCACTAAAGCACTAGTTCTCAATTTGTAGACCTAGGACCGATGGTGTCTGTGGAACTTTATAAGATTTTATATTTTTGACAAAGCACTATATAGTTTATAGTGCGGTCCTACTGGACATCTGTGAAAAAGGGCTTCATAGAGATTTTGATAAAGGTTATGATTCTGGATCCATAAAGGTTGGGAATCACTTGCACTAAAGGAACCATCTGGTTTTTGTATTGTCTCAAATACACTGGACCATACTTATCCATTTCAAAATTCATAAGTGGGGAAATAAGGAGTTGCTTTACTGTGAATGCGGCAAAGTGCAATCCATCACTCGCATCACCAAAAATGAATCATAACACATGATTACAGCAGGCATAAATGGAATCCATCAGGTGACCCCAGGTGGCATCGAATTGCTTTCCAAACTCAACATCCAGTTATAAACTTGACCAATTAGACTTTAAATTCCATACGGAAGACCGAGGGAGGGATGGCTCAGTTAATCGTGGGAGTGCTACATTGAAGAACTCACGCAGTCCTCCCCTCTCCATCAGGCCTGGTGGCAGAGATGCCCTTTTTGCTGAGTAGCAGGGCAACCTTCTCAGCATCTCCTTGCTCCACAGCTTGAAGTAGACGATCGCCATACTTGCTCCACTCGCTTGTCTTTAAAGGGTGAGATTTGCAATGGTTAGTGTGCACATCAGATTTATAATACACACAGCATTACCCCCTAAATGGCGTGATACTTTGCGCCGGCATAATTAACGTGGGCGTTTACACACTCGGCGGTTAGAAGAACAGATGTGTCCATTTTGTGGGTCATAGTGACCTACATTAATACAAGCAAATAATGAAAGCACAATTTTTTACTGCACCAAGTAGCTCTTTTGAATGTTGCCTGTGAATGGCAGACATGCATTACTTGAGTGTGTCACAATAATGAAGAATTCCACGGAAAATTAAGAACTGCAAATTTGTACAGTACACTAATCAGATTTAACATTTGTATTAAATTTCTACAATGATATAATTATAACAAAATAGGGGCCATGAATAGCCATTTATGCTTTGAGGGCAATTGAAATTCTTCAAATTCTTAGAGTAGTTGTATCCTTTTCCCAAGGCTTAATAACTCTCAATTGTGCTAAACTGCAGCAGATAAATATGCACCAAACCACTATGATGTACATCTTAAAAGTCAGTTAAATTATCGAAGAAGTTGACTGTGGCTCAAGTGCGTCACATGAACGAAGTATACACGTTAACATAACAACAACCGCCATTCGCCATTAAGTGGCGTTGACGTCACCACGACGCTTGTGCCAGGCTATGTGCACGTTGAGGCCACGTGAAGCGTCAGACGCCCACTGGCAGGTGGTCACGGGGCAGAACCAGGTGCCACGGGTCGACTTACTGAGATGACTGGCTGATGCACCACCTGTGCCCCCTACTGTGCCAACTTGCTGTGCTTTAACCACCCGGCGCTCTGCTCGTTGTTGTGAGCCTCGCTCCTCCTCCCCCCTCCATTGATGTTGGAGGGTGACTGCCTCCAACTGCCCAGTAGCTTCCTTCACGAGCCTCCTCCACACAAGCCGATCTTGACACTGCTGGTACGAGTCATCGGCAAGTCCACTCAACTCCACATCCTCCTGTACCACATCACTCCATCTCTTCTCTAGCCTGTGCCACGCCCGTTTAGCCCCCTCGATCCGGCCAAACAAAAGCTGTTTAGGAATGCGGTGGATGGGTTTGTGCGCAGCCTTGCCTGCCAGAGGAGCTCACCGATGGGACTTTGTCCAGATCTTTCAAGGATATGTGAGCTCTTCACACAATCCAGCCTGGTTAAACCCAGGATGGATCGTAGGCAGGCCAGCCTAAATGTTTCTAACTGGCGAAGATGTTCCATGAGGGGGGATCCACGTTTTGCAAGCATAGAGAAGGGAGGGAATGACTGTGGCCGAGAAGACCTGAAGCTTCCTGCGGAGCGACAGACCAGGTAGCTTCTACACAGCGTTATGAAACCGATTAAAAGAAAATGCCGCTCGACTGATTCCGAGTGAGACCTCTGCTGTCAAACCGGAGCAGGTCATGAGCATACTGCCCAGGTATGGGAAACGCTCCACTCTCTCCACAACTGCCTTATCACCAATTGAGAGTTGTGGGGGTGGAGTTTTCGATGGTACAAAATACCCAGGCAGGTGCTTAGTTTTGGTGGGGCTGATGGTAAGTCCCCACCTCTTAGTGGCAAGCTCCAGGTTCAGCAGCCGCACCTCCAACTCCTCCTCTGAGTGAGCAGCAATTACCAGATCATCGGCATACGTAACATGGTTGAGCAATAGGGAGCCATCTCTTGACCCAACGTGGGCATCGATCAGCCTCCCATTGTATCTGTACCAGATGGAAATTCCTCCCGTACAGCTATTGAAGGCTTCACGAACTGCGTAATCGAAATAGATGTTAAATAATGTGGAACACAGAGGACATCTCTGTCACACCCCAAAATGAACAGGGAATGGCTCCGACTCCTGGCCACGTAGTTTTACCCAGGCCCGCTCACCATCATGAAGGTCCTTAATGATCATGTGCAGCGGGTCAGGGACTCTGAAAGCACGAAGAACAACCCAGAGCCCAGGCCTACTGATGGTATCATAGGCCTTGGCCAGGTCAATAAAGCAGAGATGTAGGTCTTGTTGGAATTCCTTACACCTCTGCTATAGCAGATGGACAGAAAATATGGCATCTGTGCAGGACCACCCTTTCCTGAAACCGCATTAGGGCTCCGCAAGCCTCTCCTCAGCGTGCCTGGCGAGGCGATGTTGAATAATCCTTGCCAGGACCCTTCCCGGCACACTGAGGAGTGAGATGCCCCTGTAGTTGTTACAGTCTGTGCGGTCCCCCTTCTTAAAGAGGGGGACCACCAGGGCATCCTTCCAATCCTACGGAACCTGTCCAGTGGTCCAGACTGATGTTATGATGTCATGTAGGGCAGCCTGTGCACAAACGCCACCCTTCCTCAGCATTTCGCTTGGGAGATCATCTCTGCCCAGTGCCTTACCTGTTGTCAGGCTCTCGATCGCCTTCAGTACTTCCTCAACAGATGGCACCTCAGCCAGCCACTCACAGGGGGTGACTTCTTCCAATATTGGAGGCACTGCAGCCTCAGCAGGGTCATCCCCACTTTGTCCCACAATGTTTTCCAGGCTGAGGGACTTCCCCTCCCCCAGGACCTCACAGAAATGCTCAGCAAATCTGCAAACCTGTTCCTGGGGGTCGGAGATTGGATCACCGTTATTTCCCCTAATGATGGTAATAGGTGTGGCGCTGCAGGTTACTTTTTATGGAATTAAAGAGCGATTTGTGACCACGGGCCATTGAGGCAGACTCCATCTCCTCATTAACCCGCGACCACCAACCATCCTTGCAGCGCCTCACGGCTCTCCGAACCTCCGAGCGAAGGCTGCGGTAAGCCTTCTCATTCTCTGGCGTGGGATGCTGTAGACGATGAGAGTGGGCCTGTCGCTATTTTCTCAGCCAGTTTGAATACCTCCTCTGTCAACCAGGGTATCTGAGGAGGTCTGGGCCGTGTACCCAAAGCAGCCATTGCAGCTGCATAAGCCACAGTCCTAAACCTTGCCCATTTCCCCTCGACATCAGGAGGAGTGGGGGACGATGCCAACCCCAGCCGCAAGCGATGATGAAATTCTCACTTGCAACTTTCATCAGCTAGCTGAGACCATGCCACTATGGGTTTGAATGGGGTCCTGGGTGTACACCCACCACCGGAGTAGAAAAATGGCAGGCGCATCTTACAGATGACAAGTCGATGGGGCTACCACCCATATACAAAATGTATTTTATATTTTATACCATGTACTCACACAAAGGACACCCTGTGATTTTGGAACAATGGCCATGCTGTATGTATGAAAGTTGACCAGAGTGACACAGAAGTTCTAGGGAAACAGGCTTGCTCTCTCTCTGTTTCTCCCCAAACTCCGAGTGTGCCAATAATCAGCATCAACTCCTTTCACATACAGCTCACAACTGTGAGGTAAACATTGTAATCAATGTGGCTGATTTAAATATACAAAAGGAGGAAAACATTAATATAGACTACTGGCGGCACATGCCCGCAATCGGGGCAGTGGTCGCTACGCACGTCTGTAATCCAGCACTGTGGAGGTGAGGATTTATGGATAACACAGATGTTGTTAAACTCCCTTCCCATGGGCGTCGAGGTACTATACCCTGGCTCGCCAGACAGCAGTATAGCAAGTTAATTAATCCCCATCTGTTTCCACCTGTATAACGAGAGAGTGTTGCCCCCTTGATAGGAATGGGTTTTATCCGGGTGCTCTGGTTTCCTCCCAATTGTATACAAGCATATTAATTAGCTGAAAACATCTAAGCATAAAACCCAACGCAGGACTCTCCTGAAAAAGCACCCTACAAGTCAGTGTGGTTCTCCTGGATAATTAAGTAAGTTCGTAAGTTAATCCAATGCTTTCAAGGCACAAATTGATGGATCAGCTATGCTCGTGAGTTTTCGAACATGTTTGTGTGTTCAACACCCTCGTGTGCATGGTGATAACACTCTGGGCACTCTGGGTTCCTCCCAGGAGCAAAACACTCCTTCAAAGGAACCAGACAAACATCCAAATACAGGACCCTCCTAAAAGAGCCTTCACAATCAGTGAGGCTCTTCACGATAGCATTGCAATTTTGTCATTCGTCTGGTAGTTAATGACACTCTAAGAAGATGAATATTGATTGATACAACTTAAGTCAAATATTTTGTAGGCATTTTTTTTTTCAACTTAACCTTGTGATATACAGTACTACAAAGGAAACAGTATTAATACAAATTGACGACCATTGCTTTGAAAATATGAGCAATGGCATTTAGTACATCCAAATGTTCCTTGGATTGATGTGATCCAGATTTGTTGTGTCCCATTATTTACAATGATTCACGAATGAGACTCGCATAAATGCCCCTATCTCATTAAGTTGGGCAGCATGGTAGTGCATGTCTGTAATCTAGCAATTGGAGATGGCGGATCGCAAATAAAAATGTGCAGCTCCCAATCCAGCTGTGCGTCAAGGCAGCCAGGAAACAGCTGTACAGCGTCAGATTCTTGAATCTGTCTGTGTGTAGCTTTGAGTGTCACCCCTCCTATGTTTGTGTGAATTGTCTTTGGGTACTCCAGTTTTCTTCCACATGCCACTCGTTCATAGAAATGGCCAAACATCCCAATGCAGAACACTCCCGAATGAGAGCCTTGAGGCCCATGGAGATATTACTCTGGACATAATTGATATTGGTTAAATTTCGATTTAAAGCTTTCGTGACTGCAGGCATTCATCTTCTTCTTTTATTTTAATTTTATTATGTTTTATTTTTATTATTCTATTTCCATTCTACGTGACTTTACCGAAAGAACCAAGAAGATAATTGATGTTGGTATATCGATTACATTACAACTGTATTCATCTAAAACTAAAAGCTGCATTTACATTATCTATGTAAATGGTGTCTTATACTTGTAAATGCTTGTATCTGCTGCCGAGATAGAATTAAAGCAGGCATGTAAGCTCCCTGGTGCATTATGTTGTAACTAATACAAACAGCTGGAAATGACCCCAACACAATGGCAGGAAAT